TGAGGCTGCTATTACCTACTATACACTGGGCTTGCATGGTGTGCAGTGGCTCAGATTTCTCCACTTGTTGTGCGGACTATATGGAGTCAGGGTGGACCCCTAGCCTGTCCTGCACCCTCAGTGGAATATTCCAAATGAGTGTCGAAGAGGAGACCCTGAACTTGGTTCAGGTTTACAGTGACTTACTAACTCCGAGTTTTAAACTGACTAGATACTATAGTACTAAGGAATACTATATAGCATGTTATTACAAAAAAAAGGTAAACTGCAGTGTAACGCAGCATGTGTAACGCATATCACACAATATTGAAAAGACTAAGTCTTGTGTGTGTGTGATAACACTGGACTGATAAAAGTGAATCTTGGTTCTCATGGACACACAATAGAGTGAGCCCCCTTCAAAGAAGCTAATACGTAATGAAGGTACAGTGGAGATGGACCCTGTTTCCTTCTCAAACTGCTACATCATTGATAGCGACAAACAGAACGCTTAGCAAATAACAAACATTGGGGTGGATATTAAGAAGCACCCAATACAAAACTTCATATCATTCAGAGGTTTTTTGATGTGTTTATTGGTTAAGAGAATCAAGTAAAGCCAACGTGTTTCCAGGGAAAGGCCTCCCCCTTCCTCAGGACTGAAGCAATAGATGTAATTAGAATCACCAGGAGATGCAAAATGAGACCTATATTAGGGCTTGAAAGGACTGTCAAATCTTAATGGCATTATGAACTGCCAGCATGGAAGTGATGGGGTGGCTGATGACAATAGACATGATAGGGTGGCTGGATGACAGCCATAAGGCTGGCCATAGATGATGCAGATTGCAGGGAAGAAAATTGCTGTGGAAATCCCTCCCGTAGAGCCATTGTGTTCTTCTGGCACGGGGGAGTGGGGGGTAGCCAACCCTGCTGGAAGAACACAGTGATTACTGCTAACAGGTATAGCAACTGGCAATAATTCCATTAGAAATCCAACATGCTGGCTGTACCCAAGTCTAACTACAATTGAATTGGGTACAATCAGCCTGCCCATAGATGGTTTGAACCTCAGCTGGTCCTTGCTGAACCAGCCAAGACCAACCATCTATGGCCGACCTAAATGCGATTATTTTACTTAGCTTGCCTTCCCATGCACAGTAGTGATCTGATCAAATCATGATACATGTAAAAAGAGAGTTAAATATTAGCTTTCTCCTAAATATTGCTGATCAACCCACCTTCCCCCCTCAAAAAAATACCATCCTAATGTCACTTAATCTTACTATAGAGACAGGCAGCATTCTCTGAAATACAGGTCCAATGTATATGATATCTTCCCACTGGTTCTTAGAAAACCAACAGGCTGCATTCTGTATATACGACAAATCACAGCTTGAACTATCTTGCTTTGCATGTAATGAGTCTATCTCTAATCCATCACCTGAGATATGACAGGTACACTTTAAAATATGATCTACAAAACAGAACACGTGCAAGAAACCAAACTGTAAATGGTAAAAGGTAACTAGTAAAGGTAAATCTCCCCAGCTGTTTGGTTTTCCATTCAGCAGATAAATGTATCAATAAATTCTCTTTAGGGGGTAAATGTAATAGAATCATAGAAGAATTATAGAGAAAAATATGACAGGATTTCATTAAAAATGATATAATTTATTTCCACAATGTTTCTTTTATTATTGGGCTGTTTTTTTCCTTCTGCATTCTTTTCTTTATGATTGCCTTAGGATGTCTGTATAAAATTATACACAGCTGTTTTTAGATTATTATGGTTGACAACACAATATTTTCTATTATATTGTTCCATGAGAAAGTTACACATTTTGGGGCTGATTCATTAACACCGGAGAAATGAAAATGAGTGCAAAATCGTTTGCAATGACCTATTGTGTTGTCATACAATTAAAAATGAAAACTGGAGGGGTGGAGAGGGGGCAGAAATGGGCTAGGGGGCAAGAGGGAGGAGGGGGGGAATCATATGCTGCCAGGGCCAGTACAAATAGGATAGCTAAGTGGAGTTACTGCCCTCAGACCTCTATCAGGGTGGAAATGTAGTCTGTGACAGCTGCTGGATGTTCCTAGCTATCTGCTCCCGGTTTACATGTGTGATTCTCCAGTATCAACCTCTTTTGTGGCTTCGGGATGTTATGGGACTAAATGCAGACAGCTGCCATGGAAGTCAATGCTAGACATGAAAAACTATGGAATATGTTGTGCTCATTTGTCAAAGAAAGCTGAATGATAATTGCATATGGCGTGGTATTTTGTAGTTATTATATTTATTTGAGTCAATATTTTCACAAAGCAGAAGTTGTCTTGTTAGCTGGTAAAGTGGTTGTAAACCCTTACTTATACCCACCAAAGTGATTAATCTCAGGTGATACACAGAGATTAAACAAATCCTTCTACATAAGGTGTACCTGTTTATCTGCAGCACTCTTGCTTTCTACAACAGGGGGCTAGGAACTGAATTTACACTCTGCAGAGCTCAGTGAGGAGAGCTCTGAGAGCTGATTTGAGGGAAGGGACCCCCCCCCCCCTTTCACACAGCTCACAGGAACAGAGATGAGGCTGTCCATCACAGGCTGTGTGCTGGAGGTCCCTCCCCTGTCATCTTTTTTCTCTTGGTGTCAGGAAAACTTGTGAGAAGTAACTTATGCTGACTGCAAGGAACCAAGCAGAGAGAAATGAGTGATCCGGATTGAATCAAGTACACAGGATATGATGTCTTCATATTTCATGTCAGAAGTTTACTACCTTTTTAAAGTACCATTTATGTTACAATAAACCAATTTCTTTTAACTCCACTTTCGTTGAGAAAAAAAAAATCCCACCCCTGGGTGATCTATGTCCATTGCAGGGATTTTAACAAACGTTGTTCCAAATTCCTACCTTTTGTTATTCTGAAGTAATAGTTGCCTGTTTGTCTGTGTCCATGTGTAGATTGAATCTGTATGGGAGTGGTTTTATAACTATCAGTCAGCTGCTGCACCTGCAGGGCTCTAATGAGGAAAGTAGCAAGGTTCTAGTGCTTTCCGTTTCTGCATCCAGAACACATACAATGTAGGTTACATGGTTTTCAGTGGCATAGTTCACTCAAGTGCATTCCAGTTCTAGAAAAAAAGTAGAACATGCTGCATTTTTTCTTGCACAGAACTGTACTGTAATGCGGTAAAACACATAAAAAATGCGTTAAAACTTGTATGCAGAAATGCATCTGGAACAGATCTGGAGTGCTTTTTTTTGTGGTGCCCTGCATAGATGTGATTTCCCTTTGGGAGTATCTCACCAAAAATGACATTTTTGTTGCAGGGGATGCCAAAAATCTGACTTGTGTATTAATGCAGAGTTCTGGGAAAATCAGTGAGTCAATCACACAAGCAGGAAATGACATATCTGGGGGGCATTCTGTACACAGATGGTGTACAGAACGCCTCCAGGTAGCCATATTGCATTGCATGTCACAGAAAACACTGCAAAATGAAGAGGAAAGGTCACTTTTTTTGTGTGTGTTTGCACCCCAAGCCAAAAGTTTCCAGCCCCCCCTCCCCACTGGGAAAAACCTGTTTGGTTGTTGTTGCAAAAATTGCTATCTGCTTTTGTGCTAATGTTGATTTCTCAGTTTTGAATGACTCCACCACATAGTTTGACTCTTCGGGGTTTATTTACTAAAGCTGGAGAGTGCAAAATCAGACTCCCTTCTGCATAGAAACCAATCAGCTTCGAACCTCAGCTTGTTCAATGAAGCTTTGGCAATGAAACCTGGAAGCTGATTGGTTTCTATGCAGAAGGGAGTCTGATTTTGGACTCTACAGCTTTAGTAAATAAACCCCTTCGGGTCTCTCTCATTCATCCTCAGCAAATCGCTTTCCTCTTATTCACGTTCCCATCCTCCCTCTTACTACCTCCTAGTTTTCCTCATATTTATACCTATTAACTTCTCCTTCTTTCCATACTTCCTTTCCTAGTGTCTTCCTTGGCTGAGTTTCAGCTCATTTTCTTCAGCTTGATACATGACCTTGTTCACAGACCCGTGTATCTATCTGTACCCACTGGAGAAGCTTTTGTTACAGTGGTGCTGACAGGCGGGTGCACATTGTAAATACACAAGTCCAAACACATTACTGGCTGCTCAGTGACAATTTGCACGTTGACATTGAGTGACAAGCTCTTGCACTCGTGTCACTTTGCATACTATCATCTTTGCAGTAAATTGACACGGCAGTCAAATAAATACTATGAAATTCTTTTAATGCCTCAAACGCTCCCATGTGTTACGTGAAGCATAAATTCCGGCTTGTAAATCAAACATAATATTGATTATTAACACTAGATAACTTTAAAGTGGAATGCAGTTCAAGAAAAGTTTTTTTTCTTTTGTTGGTTGTAATGTCTACTTCAGTGAATAAAAGGTGAGACCTCCTGGGCTTCTGCCTCCTAACATAAACTAAACTAAGTAAAGTGCAGCTGCCCACATCCAATCATATACCCATAGATCTGTACAGCAAATGTAATATAAAGTGATGTAGCGCTTACACAAAATAAATACTAAATAAACAATGAATAATGTGCATATACAGTGACCCCACACACTCTGGTGACTGGCAAGTGAAACTGGATAAATGTAAGTGCAGCCCGTAGGCTGTGAAACTACATGAGTATGTAAATCACTCACAAAAAAATGCAAGTGAATCAAAAGTGAATAAACAATTTCGATGATAAATCAAACTTGGGTGATCACACTAATTCCCTCCAATCGCTCTGAATAAAATCAAAAAACTATATTTGTGCTCTAAAAAAATACAAGTGACAATATTAAAGTAAAACACATGTGTGTTTACACTCAAATAGTCAAAAATAAAACAAAAGAAAACAATACATGAATACATATACTGCTGCATGCGTATACCGTATTTTTCGCTCCATAAGACGCACCTAGGTTTTAGAGGGGAAAAACAAGAAAAAAAATTATTCTGAACCAATGGACTGCAGACACAGTACAGGGGATGACCAAGACTGCGGACATAGTACAGGAGATGACCAGAGCGGACACAGTGACCAAAGACTGCGGACACAGTGCAGGGGATGACCAAGACTGCGGACACAGTACAGGGGATGACACAGTGCGGACACAGTGGGGATGACCAGAGACTGCGGACTGCAGACAGTGCAGGGGATGACCAGAGCAGGGGATGCAGAGACTGCGGACAGTGCAGGGAATGACCAGAGACTGCAGACAGTGCAGGGGATGACCAGAGACTGCAGACAGTGCAGGGAATGACCAGAGAATGACCAGACTGACTGCAGGGAATGACCAGAGACTGCTGACCTTTGGGGAGGGAGGGGGAGCGGGTACCTGAATTTGACAGGTACCCGCTCCCACTTCCGCGGAGTTGTCCTTCCTTCCTTCTTCCCGGGCCGGCTTCTGTGACAGCCGGGTGCCCACTGCGCATGCGCGAGAAGCGCTGCGCTTTGTGAATGGCCCGGCGCCTTCTGGGACCTGTCATGTGTCCCAGAAGACACCGGATCATTCACAAAGTGCAGCACATGCGCAGTGGGCACCCGGCTGTCACAGAAGCCAGCGCGGGAAGACTGTGCAGCGCTGGAGCGAGGAACAGATAAGGCCCTGCAGGAGAGAACAGCTGAGCGGCCGGCCCGGTATTCTGACATGGTGGCGGCAGAAATACCGGACCGGCCGCTTTATATTCGCTCCATAAGACGCACTGACATTTTCCCCCCTTTTCTGGGGGGAAAAAAGTGCGTCTTATGGAGCGAAAAATACGGTAAATGAAAAATGGTATTTCCAACGTGTATTTATACAAAACTCCCTTCAAATCCACACACAACTCAAACCAATAAAATAGTTATAAAGTCCAAAAAAATGGTGTTATTTCAAAAACACCTAATCTTCCAACAAAAACACCCGTGTTCAAGTGACATGATCACACGTATCCATAGGCGGCTGAATTCCACTCTCACCTTAATACTTCGACCTACTAAGGGTCAAAACGCATTTGGATCACTCACTAGGATCCTCCATGCAAGAGACTCCTTCCGGGATTATTACATTCATGAATCGTCTCCAGCTCAATTTGAACACCGACTACACTGCGCCCTTCCCGCGCTGAGAGGTGTTCAAACTGAGCTGGAGCCATCCTTGTAATTTAGACATCCCTACCAGAAAGTAAAGCCAGATTGTGGACTTCTCTTCATCGCAGTATAATAACAAAGTTTGGTTATGGACCTCCAGCCTGTGATTAGTCAATGAAGGAGCAGCAGCATGCTGATATGGTCATCCTTCCTCTCCCTTACTGTAAAAGGTTCAGTGTTACATCACTTTATATTACAAATGTCTACTACAGGATCCTGTAGCATCCTTTCTTTTCCAAGTAATCTGCCAGTGCCTATATCACCGCATATCTGTCACTGAGCCAAATTGTAAGTCTGTTGTAATTAATTCCCTATATTGTCACTAACCAGGAACAAGTCCCTTGGTATGGACCATTGACTTTACTAGCTGCATGCTTCTCATGTAGTGAAGCCAATGCCTGGATTATGGCTCAAGAACTTGCATATTCAAAGTCAAGTCAACAGTGGTAGACTCCATATTTGTATCCTAAAAAAGCTTCCTTGAAATGTAAATTCTTAGTCCTCATGCAGACTGTTTTTACAGCGGCTGTTTTTGGCTTTGGACATTTTTTTCTACAGCCAGTAAACCTCCCAGCATGTTATCCTATGTGTCCATGCACACATAGACGGTAATCTACGTTTTTTGGCAGGGGCGTTTTTTGGCTGCAAAAAAAACCCCCAGAACTAGTGGGTTTCTAGAGGAGTTTTTTAGCTGTAAAAAAACTCTAACGCTGAAAACTGCTGCAAAACGCCGCAAACCGGTGTTTTTGGAGTTTTTTTGCCCCCCAATTTTTTTTTGTCAAGAAAACGCTAAAAACCGCAAACGCGGGAAAACGCTGCTAATCGTCAATGCAAAAATGCTTAAAAAAGCTGAAAAACTCATGTTTTTAACGTGACTTTACGCAGCTAACATTACCAGCATTATCAAAATGTTCCGTGTGCATGAGGACTTATGTATTACAGCATACAGTCTTTTAGTTGTCCTGTTAACTTGGCTTTGGCTCCAATGCTTCAATGCTTTTTTAGTGCTTTTTGCAGAAATGCACTACAATCCATTTAAGGCTCGGTTCACACCTATGCAGTTTGTGTTTGATTAGTTTCTGCAGTGCTTTTTTGCGATGCGGTTTTTATTGTTGCACATGCGTTTTTGATGCGTTTTGCAGTTTTTTCTTGTTGCTAGGCAGATTAAAAAGCAAAACGCATCAAAAATGCTGCAAAAACGCACTACATGCTTTTCTGCAGCATCTCCATTGAAGTCTATAGAACCAAAAATGCTACTTTTTGCGTTTAAAAAAGTTTATGACCCTTTCCAAAAAACGCCCCGGGTAAAAACACAGAGATGTGAACATGTCCCATAGGAAATCATAATAAACGGACTTCAGTGCGTTTCTGCAAAACACAAAATGCTTAGGTGTGAACCTAGACTTACATGGTTTCCTATGGAACATTTTCACACCTATGCTTTTTTGAGCTGTAGAGGTTTTGGAAAGGGTCAGGGACTTTTTTAAAAGCAAAAAGCAGTGTTGCTGAAATAGAGTTCAATGGAAAATCTGCTAAAATGCATGGTGGAGCGTTTTTTTCCAAGATTTTGCCGCGTTTTTCATTTTGCATTTTTGTCCTGCCCAGCAAAAAAAAAAATTCCACTTAAAAAAAAAAAACTGAACAAAATGCAAAATGCTTCAAAATCGTGGCAAAAACGTATGTTGAAAAAACATAAAACGACCTGCGAAAAGCACTGCAAATGGACATAAAGCAAATTGCATAGGTGTGAACGAAGTCTTAAAGAAGCAGCCAGACGTCCCAGTGTGCACTGCTCTGCTCATGGGTTTAGTAAGTGCAACATGCCTACATCATTGTAATCAAATTCTGATTTTCTGTTTCCATAATGGTTGCATGTGTGTACATACAGGAAAACCAGTAGAGATAAGGATCTATGAACCTAGATTGTAAGCTCGAAAGAGCAGGGCCCTTGATCCCCTCATGTTTTGCATTGTATTGGTATTGTTCTGTCACATGTTCTGTCTCCCTTTTGTAATGTACAGCGCTGAGCGAACTATTGGTGCTTTATAAATACTGTATAATAATAATAATAATAATAATAATGAACCACAGGAAGATATGTACAGTATATGTAATTAAAAAACCCATTCAAAACATATGTTTAGGTGTGCAAGCCCTTTAGATACACAGTGGAAAAACATATGTGTGCACTACCAGTAGATACTGTTTGTCATTCTGTTCAGCCATCCTTGTAATTCAGGCATCCCTACCAGAAAGTAAAGCCAGATTGTGGACTTCTCTTCATCGCAGTATAATAACAAAGTTTGGTTATGGACAGGGGCGGACTGACCATTTGGAAACTCGGGCACTGCCCGAGGGACCGGGGTCAGTAGGGGGCCCCATGAGATGCCCCTGGTACCTTTTTCATAGGCTTTTTTGAGTTTGGGCAAGGACACAGGGGCCCCATGATCCCCTATTGCCTGGAGGCCCCATGAGTTGTCAGTCTGCCCCTGGTTATGGACTTCCAGCCTGCGATTAGTCAATGAAGGAGCAGCAGCATGCTGATATGGTCATCCTTGCACTCCCTTACTGTAAAAGGTTCAGCGTGTAACCCACAGTAATCTACTGTAATTGTATGTTCGAATACATTTAGGTTGAATATCACAAACATGCTCATATTTTTAATCACAATTAAGAATTTACTTATTGGAAGACGAGACTTTAGTGTGTGTCCAGTCTTATAATGTGTATACGTTTAACCCATATCTTCCTGACCCTATATGAGGCCACACATATTTAGATGTATGTACAATATTGTGCAAACTTACTAGATAGGCAACCCAATTGTGAAAAACAACAAGCCTAAATTCCACCTACAGTAACAGAAATGTAATAACTTCCATTTTCATAGCTTTACCTCCACTTTCCAGTAGTTGTGCAATGTCTAAATATAACTGTGTAGTTCAATAGGCAATAGAGATAGATGCAGTGCACTCAGCAATCAGTACTGAGTAACAGACCTGCTTAGACACACCCCTTTTCCTGCTCTGCAGTAACTGTCTGTGGAAGGACATCTGTGATGAGGGGTGTGCCTGTTAGGGTCCTTTAACACAGGAGTTCCGTTTAGTTTCTGCAGTTCAGTCACGTTTTTTCAAAGTTTGCATATTCTCCCTGTGCCTGCGTGGGTTTCCTCCAGGTAGTCCAGTTTCTTCCCACACTCCAAAGACATGCTGGTAGGTTAATTGGCTCCTGTCTAAATTGGCCCTAGTATGTGTATGTATGAATGTAAGTTAGGGACCTTAGATTGTATGCCTCTTGAGGGTTAGGGACCTTAGATTGTACGCCCCTTGAGGGTTAGGGACCTTAGATTTACACCCCTTGAGGGTTAGGGACCTTAGACTGTACACCCCTTGAGGGTTAGGGACCTTAGATTGTACGCCCCTTGAGGGTTAGGGACCTTAGATTGTACACCCCTTGAGGGTTAGGGACCTTAGACTGTACACCCCTTGAGGGTTAGGGACCTTAGATTGTACGCCCCTTGAGGGTTAGGGACCTTAGATTGTATGCCCCTTGAGGGTTAGGTACCTTAGATTGTACGCCCCTTGAGGGTTAGGGACTGATGTGAATGTACAATATATATGTAAAGCGCTGAGTAAATTGACGGCGCTATATAAGTGAAAGAAGTGAAAGAAAGAAAGAAAGAAAAAAGAAAAAGAAAGAAAGAAAAAACGGATGGGTTTACATCTGTTTTTTCGTCCCTTTACAACAGTTTTTTCATCCGTTTTTCATCCATTTACATTGGTTTACATCTGTTTTTCATCCATTTACATCCTTTATCCATCCGTTTAGATCCATTTTAATCCGTTTTTTCATTTGTTTACATCTGTTTTTTCATCCGTTTACATCCATTTTTGGTCTGTTTACATCTGTTGACATCCATTGACATCCATTTTTTTTTGTCTGTTCCGGGTTTTTTTTGCAGAAGAAAAATAGGGTTTTCTTCCGTTCAAAAAAACGGATGTTAACAGATGTGGGCATTAACGGATGTAAAAAGATGTTCATCTGTTTACATTCGCAAGTCCATAGAAATACACGGGGGTCCGTTTTTCATCCGTAAACGGACAGATGAAAAACGGACATACAGAACGCCCGAGTGAAAGGGGCATAACTTAGCTATTC